CGAAAAGAACACCATCAGTTTCTTCTTTCGGTTCTTCTTCAGGAAGGTAAACAGCAGAAGGAATCTTTTTTCAGAGGGACAGACAACGTAGCCCTAGAAGGGGATTAAGTGAACAGATAAAAATTAATGACTCAAACATCAGTTTCATGAACCAGACTGAAAACAAATGTGTAAGCAGACACATGGCAAGACTGCAGCCTGGAAGATAACTAAGCACTTCCCAGATAATTTCCCCAATGACTTTAACGATGGATTCTACAACAAGGCCACCTCTTAGCACTTTTGTTACTTCCGAGGCGAACAGTCACCGACAGTTGCTACAACCATCAAATACTAAAACCTCTAAGTGCAGGTGAAAGACCATCGATGTTGTCCAGCAAAAGGCTCAGCCTCAAAGTACGATTTCATTCAGCTCTGTCCTTTTTACTTTGACACGAAGTCACTCATTCCATTCAGCCCTACAACGTCTGCATTTTTAACTTCAGGATAAAAAACATTTTGTTTTTATTCTTTACTTTCAGTTATCTATATATATTAGTATGTACATTTTAATTAAGTGTTACGAAAACGTCACGCTTGGCCTTATAGGGCTAACCAATCCAACCACCCCGCTCTCTGAATTCGATCCCTCGAGGTCAAGCTACTCATGGAAATACCTGCTCAAGACCATCCACGGTTGCATTGGCTTTATCATCATCGACGCCGACATACAAAGGCTCCTTTTTCAGAGAAATCCTCGCCAGGTCGTCCACCTTTCGCGTTTGAGTGGCAGAAAAAAGCATGGTCTGTCTGCGTACTGAAACAGACACAAACAAGAATCTAAACCTACTGGAAAAGATTCCTAATCCCTTCACAGCACCCAACACCCCAAGTAGAAAGACCGCGCCTGGGATCCAGCTACAGAGTCTACAACTCTGCTACACATCTGACACCGTTGAAGGAACAGTCCAATTCCTTGTGGGGTGTGCTATTTAAAGCTCACTCAAGAACACAAATCAACCCAAACAGACTCACTATTTTACCAATGACGGGTAATGGCTCCATGTCAAACTGCGGGCCCAGATGGGATACTGGTGGACTCTCCACAGCGTCCACACCCAGAACTATCAATGACTCGCTGGTGAACTGTCCACAGCATGGAGGTAGAACTAGCGATGGCAGACAAACTCTCCAGGAATCAGAGGATTAAATTCCCATCTCATTCTCTGGGACCAACATTACTTCCGTTCTCCTTACAGATTAAATGCTTTCCATTCAATATTTACTGGAACACTAAACCCTGTATCTACGTCTGTAATCCCACTCAGGAATTGAGTCTTTTGTTGCGTTAAGGAGCACACCACCGAAAGGCATGGCTAAAACCATCGTTTGAGTTAAGAAAGAGCAGCAGAAAAACCATCAAGTAGGTGGAGCCCAAGGAAATGAGCAACTGTGGGCTCATAGACACAGAGACAAGCCCTAGAGTTGACAGAGGGAGACCCTGTCTCCTTCTGAGTCACAAACAGAGCAGAGTGGACACGTGCGCACACGCACACACAGGGTGAAGCAACCCTGCAAGCCTAGGAACTCCGCGAATGGTTGCACGGGATAATCCCCTATCCTTCATGGTCACTAGTCGGAGTCAACTCAAAGGAATACAGTAACAAAATCAGAATATCAACTAGATGGACAAGGAACGTCCCAGCGTTTCTCAACTGGTGGGTCACGGCCCCCAATGGGGTTGAACGACCCTTTCACAGGGGTCACCCGATTTATAACAGCAGAAAAATTACAGTTACGAAGTAGCATTGAAAAAAATTTTATGGCTGGGGGTCACCACAACACGAGGAACTGGATTAAACGGTCGTGGTGTTAGGAAGGTTGAGAAGCAGTGCCCTAGAGGCACACACTAAATCAGACGTAGGTCCCTGAATGACAAGAAAATAAAGGTCTGTGGTTTAAAGCTGCCCACTTGTGGTAGTTGTTATAGTAAGGATACTCTGAACTCAAACCTGACAACGACACTGTAAGAAAGCTACAGGCCAAGAGAGCTCAAGAACAGATGCCAAATTTCCAAAGTTTTAGCAATATAAAGGATGATACTTCACAGACAAAGAAGCTGTAACTTTCAATGAAGGCTTGGTTTAACATTTTAAAAATGCAATCAATTCAGTATATTAACAAACCTATTTGAAAAGAAAAGTTATCAGATCATTTGAAGAGACAGACAGATGATTTGACAAAACCCAACAAGTTCCTGGGAAGATGTTTCACGGAATGATTAAAGGACTAAGTACTAGAGAGTGGGACTTAGACACAACACAGAGGTCCATCCTTGTCCACTCCATTCAACCTTGCTTATTAGAGAATGTAGCCAGGACAACCAGGCTTAAATAAATAAACCATTATCCGTAGATGATACGGTTGCCTTTCAGTACTAGTCATGCACAGAGAGGTTATAGCTTTTTAAGTGGAAACCCCAGAGGGCTGGTGTCTCTGGAAGGCCACACTGAATAATCCAGCTGACCCCTAGAATACAGATCTTGCCAAACAAAAGATATATACATTTAAATATAGATGTGTACACAGGGGCCCAGTGGTGTATGGTTCCATGCTGGGCAGTGATCCTCATGGTCAGCAGTTCAAAACTACCAGCAGCTCTGAGGGAGCTAGACTGGACTTTCTACTCTTGTCAATAGTTATAGTCTCAGAAACCCACAGGGGTTGCTATGAGTCAGTATGGACTCAAAGCAGCGAGATTATGTGTACATATTTAATCAGTGATGAGTAACGAACTGTTAGAAACAGAAGGTAATAAACTTTGGGGATATTTGATGCAACAATAACAAAGATTGTTCAATTTACAACAAAACCTCTAAAATGGCATCAATTCATCAATAAATCCCTGAATGATGCAAACGTTAGGTGCTCAATTACTAACCCAAAGCCGGAGGCTTGAATCCATCCAGAAACAGCCCAGCAAAAAATCTGGTGATTGAAAATCTTAAAGAGCAAAGGTCTAGCTATTTTGCCACGAGTCCGCATCAGCTCGATAGCAATTGGTATATTTACTTATTTTGCATGTTTGATGCATGTGCTTCAAACCATCTCCAACCATCTTTAACACTTTTTATATAGGAATGGTCCTCACCTACTTCCACTTCGCAAACCACAAGCAGACACTACACACTGACCTGGCAGAAGTTTAATAATCTGCTTTAACTCCTCTTCAAATCCAACATCCAAGATACGATCAGCTTCATCAATGACCAGGCACTGTAGGTTTTTA